TTTATTTCTTCTATTCCCGTATCATTAAAAACAAAGGATTGTTTAAACTGGTCATTTTTTTGACATTTCCTTTGTCAAGTTCTCGATTTCCGGTCCAAACAAATTATTATTTATAGCTGCATCCAGTTCGGAATCTGGATTTGGACTTATTGTGGGCGGAAGAATATTAGACCAGCGAGGAAAACGTAGCATATTGATTGATAAAGGTCCGGAACAGTTATTCCGAAGTTACCAAATAGAAATCCTGGGGAGATCTTGTGACGAAAAATCGAAAAAGCTGGAAAAAAAAAATCACACTTACTGTTAGATTAAACCCTGGAAAAACTGTAGTAGTTCAATTCAAAAATCAATAAGTTAAGTATCAAAATAGACTAAAATGATATAACTAAAAATTCTAATACAAAATTTCTAAATAATATTTAATAATTAATTAAATAGACTGTATATCAAAAAAAAGAACTTAATAACTCGTATTTTGCTATCTTAAAATTGAAAACTTCCTTAAATACGTTTTCTGTTTTAAATGCATACTACTCATCAGTATAGTCAGTATTCTCTAACAATATCATAAGTTGGGGAAGAAATCTTTGTCCAACAAAACGGGATAATTCGACTAATGTACAACTTAAAACCAGTAGAATCGTGCAGAGATGTTTTTAGAACTGCAAAATGTTTAACTTTGACAAGTATTTATTTATTTAAACTATTAATTTATATACATAAAAATAAAGGCAACTTTCAAACAAGATCTAATATTGATTCTTGCTCGACAAGGAATAAAATTAACTTCCAGTTCAAAAAATTTAATAACTACCACTATAAAAAATCACCTTTTCATTCCGGGTAAACATACTACAATATTATATATATATATATATATATATATATATATATATATATATATATATATATATATATATATATATATATATATATATATATATATATATATATATATATATATATATATATATTTATATATATATATATATATATATATATATATATATATATATATATATATATATATATATATATATATATATATATATATATATATATATATATATATATATATATATATATATATATATATATATATATATATATATTCTCACGTATTGATTCACGAATGGAAAAATGTGATGACACTATATTCCGGGATATCACCCGTTCGCTCGTTGAACTCCGACTGGAATCCTGCAAATCCTGCATCCGACTGGAATCCTGCAGACGTTTCGCCAAAATCTCACTTGGCATCTTCAATGCTCGCGCTCCGTGTTCGAAGTGTTCGAAGTGTTTTCGGAGCGCGAGCATTGAAGATGCCAAGCGAGATTTTGATGAAACGTCTGCAGGATTCCAGTCGGATGCAGGATTTGCAGGATTCCAGTCGGATGCAGGATTTGCAGGATTCCAGTCGGATGCAGTCTGAGTTCAACGAGCGAACGGATGATATCCCGGAATATAGTGTCATCATATATATATATATATATATATATATATATATATATATATATATATATATATATATATATATATATATATATATATATATATATATATATATATATATATATATATATATATATATATATATATATATATATATATATATATATATATATATATATATATATATATATTCCAGCTGAAAATAGAGACGTAGAGCTAAATAAATTCAACAAATATTTAAAATCCTTACTGACAACAATCTGAATATGCAAATCTTATAAAGTAAATAAAAAAATAAGTGAATAAATAAATAAAGTTTGTCTTCCATGACACAATTTGGATCTTTATTTGTTCGTCTTTTTCATGTAAAATTTTGTATTTGTTTCATATAACATTTTTTACGGGTTTAAATTTTAAAAATATTTAGATATATTGCGATTTTTCCCAGAATTTCTTATATTATATTGGTATTAGTAAATAAATGTCTATACCACTCTACTCTAGTTTCTTATTTAGAATGATATTTCAAGTCGAAATAAAATGTTATTTATTTGCTGATTTTACTACATTTTGACAACCTTGTCCGCTTTCAATTATTTAATATTAATTATTATTTTTTCATTAAAAATTCGGTTTAATCATTAACTAGGTTATCAATCAATTGTAGAAGACGATCCTGTTTCATATACTATTGACGTATTTAAGAGTAACATGTTGAAAACTATTTGTAAAATAAATAAAAGACAACCCTTGTTCAAAATAATTAATTTTTAATCATCGAAATGTCCTATTGCGATTGTGTTTGTTATAATAAAAATGTCTTAGCAACTTACTGATTATCTCAGTATAGACTTTACTAGTCCTACACTTATTGATTGGTTTTTGTTAATGGCCTAATATTTACAAGTAATAAAGGTAAATGCACAAAAGTTTATTTCGATCTTAAATATCATTTGGCATACTGAATAATAAATTAGAGATTGATTTGGTAAAATAGGAATAACTGAACATTAATAATCACAGGTAAAGTGACAATGCTTACACCGTAAAAAAAGGGTTTACAAATGTTTAATAAATTATTGTTAAAAATTAGGGTAAAGCCACGAATAGTTTTTAAATGAACAACAAACAAATATTATGTATGCAAATAGTTTATTTTAAACAATTTTAATATATATGCACTGAACCGCTAAAATATGGAATAATTAATTATCTGTAGCAGTTTTTAGTAGTAGCTAATACTCGTAGTACTTCAGTATTTCAATACATTTGCGGATATCTTTGAAACTTATTTATTTATTTACTTGCTCTTCGGGACATAAACAGGTTAAACTCACAACAGTGCCCTTTGAAGAAAATAATAGTACACAAAGCGTCGTTAATAAGTATATAAAAAAAAATGTGAAAGAGAAAAAGAAAATAAATAAATGCCATGAAAATAGGGCGGCATAGAAAACGTACCAAATCCGCCAATCTTATCATAGAGAAGGCAAAAAAAAAACAAAAGAAAATAAATTAAAAAGAGAAGGTTCTAGAGAGTAACCATTCATTCCAATTTTTGTATGCATTAAATTTAGGACTCCAGATGACACGTTTCAATTCCTCTCATTTGAACTATGGCGGGGTAATGGATTTACGAAGTATTTATTTAAAAATTTAAGGGAGTCTAAAAAAATATTGTTCCACCCATTTTTGCTTGCCAAGAAGACGGAAAGCGGACTGGTCCATCATCTAATCGAATAGCAGTTGTAGAAATGGCAAGGGTATCATGAAAGACATTTTAAGCGAAGCCAGCACTTCAATTACATCTACTGTACGCATCGATCATCTGTCTCGAACTTAAACCCAAGTACAAGTTTTGAGATCAGTAATTTAAGCCATATTGAATTCCGAACTGAAGTTTTACTAAACGAAACCAGAGAAACCATACCTATGTCCAGGAAGTGTATCTCTTACATTTTACTATGCAGATGTTATTCTACACGCAGAATCTCCGTAACTCTGTCTTTCAGCTCTGAAACAAAACAAAAAATAGTAAAAATCATTTGTATTTATTTTGGTGTCATAACCTGAATGTTTTCACAGTGTGATTATTAAACATTTAAATGAACTTATGCTAGCTCAAATTGAAAAACGCCTGTACTTATCGTAATTATAAATATTTTCGCTTTAACTCCAGCGCCCATTCTTGTTTTGCTTTAGAGCTGAGAAAGAGAGTTACGGAGATTCTGAATATAGGCATTGCTTCAGTATCGCTTAAATTACTAGTCTCTGAAGCTTGTAATTTAGCAACTTAATTAGAGACAAAGCAATGGTTGTAGTTACAGGTTTAATATGAGAAGAAGCTGTACACTTGGTTATTTCTTGAATATTGCACGGAATTGATTTGCTTCATCTCTTTTTCCCCAGATTTATTTGTACTCCTACAAAACATTTTTGCATAAAGTAGAGTTTGAAGTACTTTTCATCCAACTGTACTTTAAATTTTAAAATAAATAAGAAATAAAATAGTTATTTTAAAATGGTAAATAAGTAAACGTGGCGTTTTGCGTCTAATGACTCTTAGTCATATTTTTCGTTGCTTTTCTTGAATAGGTGATTTGAAAAATGTTGCAGAAGCAGAAATGATTTTAGTTTTACACGTTGACACGATGCATTAATGATAAATCATTTTCAACTGAAGAATAACTGAAAACTCACAAAAAAATATTAATCTGATAACTGTCACCAGGCAAACGTACCACGCGACGTCAACAACAGCTAAAATGTCCCCATTACGTTTTTTAGGGGGAAATTGTCCGGTTCAAATTTTATTTATTTATTACGACGTTAATATTTCACTTTTAAGTGTTGTTAAATATTTTCATTTAATAAAAAAATATCTGCATATAGGCATATCTCATGTAGTAGAAAAGGGAAGTGTCCCAAAATGAACCCCTAAGGAACCCCACACTCAATCTCATGGGCTCTTGATGCGTATGTCACACTATTGCTGTCCTCATTCCGTCGCATCACAACTTAGCAATCAGTAGTTCGTGATCTACAGTGTCGAAGAGCTTTGACTGATCAAAAAGTACGCCACTTTTTCGTTAGGATCCAAGTGTTCAATTATGTACGTTATAACATTAAAGATGGCCATTTCTGTTGTACAAAGAGCCAATGAAACAAACAAATAAAAAACATTGGAATACGCTGTAACGGTATTACTTTTAACTATGGTTAATATTAGAATATTTCATAGAAAAATATTTTTTCAGCATTTTCCGTTGTTTTTTGTTAAATTTCTATCACCCATGTTGGGGACACCCGGTACGCAACGAAAACGGACACGGAGACCCAATTTCTAAACCAATTTTCGGATAACGACCGCCATATCGGTCGCGTGACACGTAAAAATTTTCTCTGGCCAATTTAACATGGCTTTTATCTCGTCGCGCCGCATCGACAATAGCTTCGGCGTCGCTTTTCTATAAAACCGTCGCTTTCCATACGATACGGCCCCCGTACCGACCGGATTTTGTACCACGTGACGTTTTCGTTCGTTGCAGATGAGTACACACGCATCACGACCCCCCGACAGGACGTCCTATTCAAAAAAGGTTACCTGAACAAACCGAAGGCGTACCAGACGCAAACGTCGACGGGAAACTCGACAGTTTCCACGGGAAATTCCACTGAAAACGGCACGCCCGATCACCAGTCGGCAGGTCAGTAGTTTCCCTGCGGAGGCCTTTAAAGGACGCCCCTGCAAATTAAAAGCATCAACCCACTTAGCTCGCGAGAATTAAATAGGTTCAGTTTACTTTAATTGAAACAATGTTCATCGAAAAAAAAAACAATGCTTCATTTTATTTATTTATTTTAGTATATGATTTATTTCATTATTTTAATACAGTAGTTATCGGTTATAACGACATCGTTGGGATCTAGAAAGTTAAATCGTTACGACTGCTGCAAGTGGTCATTAATGTAAATTCTTTAATTCAAACACCATTGAAAAAATTCCGCAATATTGCGTTGTTGGAAGGTTTTGTTTTTACGAAGGGTATTGTAAAGTTACAGATAATTTTGTTTTAAACTTTACCACCCTGTATTTCAAAAGCTAACACGTTTAGAACATATGTTCATATGAAGTTTTCTTTTTAAAATTGACCCGAAAATCGCCCCGCCCCCAAATTTATATGGAGATAATCGGGATTTTCAATTTTCATCCCCAAATGTTAAACATTCATTCATCTCAATTTTTTCTCAAAATAATTTATTTTATCGATATTAAAAGATCGAAGTATTTCGGGTACGAGATGCAAAAAAAATCTCAAAACTTAAAAATTAGTTTAATACGGGAAATAGTGTGGAACCGACTTAAAATTATTTTATGAAGAAAAATTTCCGTAAATTTTGGTCCGGAAATACGTGATTTTCGAGATACAGCTTTTCTTTTAAATTAATTCAAATATCTTCTCACGGATTTGTTTGAAATTTGGCAACGCTGTTTATATATTTTTATATATATACATACACATTTTGTTTAGTGATATCACTGACATGTCCAAAAAATTCAATAATTATTTTTTAAATGCAGTTGAAACCGAATGTTGGACGATTTATTTTATGAATCCAACTAGCAAGAACAAGGTAATAAATACTAAACGTCTAAAAGAACTAAGAACTCTGCTGAATACGATGGAATTTTTTCTAAATTCTTAGAACTAATGCTAACGTTCAATAAATCCTTCAATTTTTCCTGCTGTAAGTAAGCGTCTCGAAAAACTTATGGTAGGCTAACATCTTCTATAACTTTACGTAAAATTTTAAGTGAATATCGGCACGGCTTTCTTACCAAAACTTCAACTGCAATGTTTGAGGTAGTTTCTAGATTGATAGATTGTTTAGATAAGAAATTTTTTACCGTTAGATTGACGTGTTACTTTCTTAACGCTTTTGATAGCATCTCCTTCTAGGTACTTTTAGAAAAATTATGTCACGTTGGAATTAGAGGACTGGCTTGCAACTGGCTTCAGTGCTATACCACTAATCGTATTCAGCGTGTCGTTTTGGCTGACGATACACCTAAATTGTTATTATCGTTGTTTCTACTGATAAGGGGCTGGTTTTTGGTCCTATCTAAATAAAAATTAAAAGGGGACCTTTCGGGAAGGGGTGGGGGTTCGCTAGGCGACTAAAACTACTACTTTTTTATCTTTTGAATTTTACTCATGTCTTGATTCGTTTTATCCCACGTCCATTTTTCAGTAAAAATAACTTAATATTTATCATGCGAAATCTCAGGTGCAGAAACCCAATCTTCTCCTAATGGACTAGCGAACTCTGTCAAAAAATACCCAAAGTCGTTTCTAATTGCGTTGAGTGAGTTGAGTTGAGTGATACCCAGCAATAATTCGATTTCTTACGTAATCAAGTAAATTTCTGATTCAGCTATTTATTTTATTAAATTAAATAGCAGAGGTCCCAACATGGATCCCCGTAGTACCCCACATTGAACCTCACCCCATTCTGACTTATGATAATTTAAGTTTATAGTTTTTTTCTAAAAGTACCGAGAATGAGACGCTATCTAAAGTCACACTTAAATCAAAATCAAATTTTTTTATCTATAGTTTAGATAAGAAATTTTGAACCATCTTAAACGTTACAGTTGATTTATTGGGAAGGAAGCCGTGCTGTCCGTGACTTGAAATTTTACTTGAGGTTGAGGAAGATTACTATACGAGGTGTGTTCAGAAAGTAAGGTGACTTTTAAGTTTTATGAAAGAGTATTTATTTATTTATTTATCAAAATTAATGTCGTCCCCTTCAAACTAATCTCTCCAGATATAATACACTTGTGGCAACGTTTTTTGCAATCCTCGAAGCACTTCTGGTAAGCACTTTGTGGTATAGCCTTGAGTTCTTTCAGCGATTTTTTCTTGGAGTTTTGGGCACAGGAAAGACTTGCAGGAAGCCACAAGTAACGATGAGTGAGCAGGTAAATTATCGTGATGCAACATCCAGGAATTGTTTTCCCACCATTTCGGAGGTTTTCTTCTTATTGCTTCTCACAAACGGCGCATAACTTCAAGGTAATACTATTTATTAACTGCACGTCCTTGCGGTAAGAACTCTCGATGTGCTTCGCCACGATAATAAAGACAAAAAACAGTAAGCAAAACCTTGACATTTGATCGAACTTGCTTTTTTAAGTTTTGGCGATTCTGGGTTCTTCCATTGGGACGACTGGACTTTGATTTCGATGTCATAACCATATATCCATAATTCGTGACCAGTTATGACCTCAACCTCGCTTCTGAGCGATTCCCCTTTGACGGGCCTTTTGTTCAAAATTAAGCAGTATCCGAACAAAATTTGCTGCTACACGTTTGATGCTCAAAACTTTTGAAAAAATTGCATGGCACGAGATGCCGACGTCTTCAGCCACTTCTCTAATAGTGAGTCGACGATTTTTCAACACCATTTGCTTCACTACTTCAACGCTTTCTTCGATTATTGACGCGCTGGGGCGTCCAGAGCGAGGACCATCTTGAAAAAGTTTCTAACACTTATACAAATTTTTAATAACATTTCAAGTGTTTTGCAGCACTGTATTCAATTTGTATGAACATTCTTTTTTCCAATTCCAAAAAAATATATCGACGGCAATTACAAAACTCACCTTACTTTTTGAACACATCTCGTATACAAGTTTTTCGAGAAGCTTACTTACAATGGATAGTAACGAACCAAGTCTATAGTTTTTAAGATCTTTCTGTGTTGCTTCAGGAAAAATTCCTGACTCGAATGATTTATTGAACAAAGTAGTAAGTTCGTCACCTACAGCTTCTCTTATTTGTTTTAGGAATTTATAAGAAATTCCATCGTATCCCGCAAAGTTCTTGGCTGTTGGAGCTTTAGCTGTAGTCATTTTCTTGCACTTGCTTGTTGAATTCATAAAAAAATATCTTACATTCTGTTTCAACTACATTTAAAAAATAATTATCGAATTTACTGGACAAGTCAGTGACATCACCAAATGGAATTTCTCTTTAGGGAGGCTTACCAGACAACCTTTTTCAAAATTGGGCATTACCAAATTTCAAACAAATCCGTAAGGAGGTATTGAAAAGATATCTAGTTTTTTCATAAAATCATTTGAGAAATTACCCCCTTAAATATTGCCGCGTCTTTTTTAAACACCCCTTATACTCCAAAGATACTATTCATGTGAGAAAAATATATGAACTTGTCCCATTATACAAGCGGGAAGCTAAGAAAAAATCGAAACTTGTTTCAGATTTGGACTATGAATCTCAGTTTGTGTTTCCCAACGGATTCGTCGATCAAAATGGAATTTACTACGTGAACAGTGAGTATCGTTACACCTAGTTGCGAACATCCCGTTAGTTGTAGACTAACCTATTAATAAACAGTGTAAGTCGGTGTCTTTTGTGTTCTCGGATGGTGGTTAGTGTGGCTTAGCATCTTGTGCATTAGAGGTATTAATGCATAGAAGAATTATTACAAATAATAGACCGATGCCACTGTATGATGAAATAAAAAAATTTCAAAAATGAAGGTCTGCGGATTTTGGTAAAAAAAGGTTATCGAAATGATATCACACAGTTTAATGGATGGATCTCAAGGGGACCCCTTATTTTGGTTGCAGCCCGTGATTTTAACTTTAACTTTGTTAGGTCTTCGGACTGTCTCTCTGAGTTTTTGTATATTTAATATATATAATACTAATTATGACACAGGTGTAGTGGATGTATGTCGGACCATTATGGCAAGTTTATTTCAATAGATATTAATAAAACTGAGCGATCACCTTCTAATAACTTAATATTTATCAGGCAAAAAATTTACAAAAACTGTCGAAAACTTGGATGCCGGAACCAAATCTTCTCGTGAACTGGCGAACTCTGTTAAAAAATACCGGAGTCGTTTTAAATTACAAATTCCTGATTTAGCTATTTATTTTATTTTCTGGCCTTGGTCTCATCAGCAAACAGGACTAATTTAGAACATCCCCGTTGTATCCCACATTGAACCTGTATGTCGGACAATTATGGCCAGTTTATTTTAATAGATATTAATAAAACATTATAAAATACTTACAAAATAATAAAATAAAATACAACTAATTATATTGTACTTGAAACAAAAAATCGTTACAAAATATATGCCGGGGCACCTTCGATATGTTAAAGAGTGTTGGTTCCTAATATGTAAGACTCAGGTACTTAATCATTTTTCCCTTAAAAAAATTGAGTGCGGTATTGTGGTTTAGAGATAAAGAATAAAAGAATAAAAGAACAAAATTAACTGCCGTGAAAACAATAGAGCAAACAAAAGAGCCTCAAGACTACGACAAATAAACTCATCAGCAGTTGCTGAACACAATCGATTATTCCATGTAATCGATTCTTCTACCAACGAAAAATCCAAAAAACTATAGAAATCTATAAGCACAAACAATCTCAACCGCGACTCTGGTCACCAATATGGGAACCAGTCATCCTTTAGCTTCTCCCCTCTCAAACAGGTATAGAGTAGAATGCGAGGCAGTTTCAGTTAAACTCTGAAGAAGCCAACAGAATGATTGGCGAAACGTCAGCAAGTTCGATTTATCAGCAACCGACGCAGACGGAATCCAAAACATTGGAGCTGTAGCATGTGGAAGTTTCTTTGAAACATTAACTTGAAATCATTAGCTCTATTGATTACGTCAGAATTGGCGGTTATATTTTCTGATTGCTAAAGAATTACTTAAAGCAACTGATTTATAGACACAAATTGTAAGTGTTTCCGTATGTTTTTAATGCACTGCAGTTTTCAGTCAAAGCATTTTGTTAGTACACAGTGACTTGCCTAGTTTTTTAGTGTTTCAATACACGTCATAAGTCGGCCGTCATAACTCAGCATTTATCGACTGGAAATATTCTTAACGGACGTTTAAAGCTCTAGAATATATCCCTGAAGTATTTAGAAAACGTATTTGTGAATACCCAGACAATTTAATTGTGTGCCATGTGCAGTGTAAATATTTAGGTTAGGTTAGGTCAAATTTCGCCTAAGTCGGCGATTTTTTAAGGAAAATTGCGCACGAGTCGCCTATGTCGTTAGAGAAAAGTCGAATTTTATCTAAAACGCGTTATTACTTTCTCCAACGTGGTTTAAGAGATGAACTTCGCTACTTGTAATCGTAAGAGAAAAATAAAGGTTACGTAATTGTGTTTGTTCTGATTTAGGAATTGAAAACAAGAAGCGCGGTTTATCAATTAGGAGACATTTCTTCTTCTACACAATTCACATGCAAAGAGGAGTTTACACTTTGCAAGGCCAGAAAAAAAAACGAAAAGTCTTGAAACAATATACTTAAGTATTTAAAAAATAAAAACATAGCAATTTTGGACTCGTTTTTGATTGACTACCTATTTAAATAAGTTTTTCGCTAAAATGTGTAAAAAACGCTTTATAATAAATTCACACACAGTGTGTTTAAGATAATTTGGTTGGCGAAATGCTCATTCTTGATGAAAAAATAATCCTGGAGTACACTGAACTTCTTCGTTCTGGGTTCAATATGTGAGTTGGGATTTTTGGATCACTTTTAATAGGCCATTTTTCTTATAATGATTCCCTTAACTCTAAGCGTTGCCGAGCTCCTGAAGCTGAAGCTGAAGGGAGAAACTTTGGACAACTTACTGCTTGCAAAAGTTAGAAACCCCCTCGTTCGCCGGACCTCACTCCACTCGATTTTTTATATGGGGATATAACCTGTGCTTGGAAAATAATAGTGATTTGTTTGAACATTGTTTATTTTTTTTATGGTAAGTTTTTTTTGAATAATTTGTTTAATCAATCTAGTTAACTATAATTTCATCTTTTGAAAATTTAATTCAAACCTTTTTTGTGATTTAAACAGTGTAGAATCATATTGTGTCGTACATCGTTATATTCGTGACAATGAATGATATTTAAGACATGGCACAATTTTTCTACGGACCCCATGAAAAAATAAAGTTGATGGTGATAGCTGGTTGTCTTGTAGAGCGTGAAAATGTCAATGAAAAATTAACCTTTATTTTTCTATATCTCTATAAATAACACCAGTAAAAAATAAAACCGAAACTGCCAAATTTCGCAAAAATAACCAAAATTAGATTTACAAAGAATTTTGTAAGCAGATGAGGGTTTAATGTGATATCATCGAGACAGTGTACAGAATATTCGTAACTGTAGTGTTTTAATAGAGAAAATCTATTTCTGAACTAGAACATTTAATGGTTAAAATCACATGGCGATATCTTCGCTGCCAACCAAGATATAGGATGTTTTTCAATTTTCGGCCCTTATGATATTTGCCCCTAGCTTTTTTATTTATGAACATTCTGGATTCGGATAAAAACATTATTAGGGTATTTTTTTAAGTCCAAGGCAGTGGAGTACACAGTTTTCTTCCACAGTTCCCCGTTTTTCATAAATGAGTACAGCATTCTTATTTTATATGGCAATCACAGTTGCCTATGGTGTTAAAAAATGCCCGTATCGAGCCCTTTTTGTCCAAACAGATTTGTTATTATCTGTGATCAAAAAGGCGGAAATATAGGGAATTTCTTAATATGTGTTAGTAGGCCGTGCAAAAAGACGTCACAAAGAAACCTTTAAAAGAATTTAATAAACACTGAACCTTTAAAAAAAAACAAGACTAATATAAAATTACTTAAGTGAAAAACATGAAACCTAAGAACCATTTAATATTTCACTATTAATTTTGGATATTATTATTAAACAAATCTCAATAAATATTAGAACAAAAAATAATAAAATTTAACCTTTTATGTTAACTACAAATTGAAGTATTTTAATGTAAATGTTCACATTAGGCGTCGCTTTCGTTAATACACTGAGTATTTTCGTACTGAATGGCAAGTATTCACTAACCCCATAGGATTAATGGAAACAACCGCCTCTCGAGTGGATTCCCCTAATAAAAAATAAGAAAGTTGTATTTATTTATGTGAAAACGGAGAAGTGTAGAAAAAATATGAATACGCCACGTTTATTTCTTTATCCGAATCCAATTTTCATAAATAAAAAAGTTATGGGCAATTTTGAAAAGCGTCGAAAATTGAAAAACGCCCTATCTCGGTTGGTATTGAATTTGAAAAATGTTTTTTTTCTGTTAAAACACCATGTGCAGAACAATCTTACCAGATTTAGTCGGTGATCTTCTAGCTTTCTGCCTTTGCGCTTGATGCTTTGTCCATAAAGGCTTGTTAATTTTTGAAAGACATTTCCACAGGCTACTATTTACAAATCTTCTGGATTTTTAGAAACTTTTAATTACATCAATTACATGGGCGGACATTTGTGGGTTTATATTTAACGCGTCTAAATTTTTCTTTAATACGGTCCATATCACTTCTATAGGATTCGAATCGCAATTATGGGGTTTATGGGGTGATAATTTTAAACCATTACATTTCAGTAATCTAGTTACTTGGCTATTATAAATAAACAAACTTGTATTCATTTAATCAGAGTACATTAGTGTGTATTTAACCATTTTTGCGAAAGTTGGTTATTGAAAAATAATAAAATTATAGTATGGATCCAATGCTAGTGGTAAGTACAAGCATATAATTATTATTATCTACGCAATTATTATCATCTATGAATTGTTTTAATGTCACAATGGCGTCACTTCTTAAAATACATAAATGTTTCGTTTTCTTTGGACAAAACTACATTTCCCCGCGTTTCCCCATCTTCAAATTAGCATAGAACTCTTATTTAATATGTCCTTAAAAAGACATATTTTCTTATTTATGCGATAATTTGCGATCTTAATGGGTATCTATTTTTTAAGAAGTGCTGTCAGTGCTGGTATATATTTTTAATTTTGGTAAAATTTACTATTGTAGCCTTTTTGAACATGCAAAATTCAAAAATGCTAATGGCAATGTTGCCAGATTCACAGCTTTTTGAGAAAAAATATTTATATCCTAGACTATTAAGCGTTTTTTGACTAATGGATGACATATAGCATACATGACAGTCTAAAACTTGTGTTTGCCCTGTGTCATTTTAAAAATTTATGACACAGAAAGTTATTAGGTATCTAATCAGATTTTTTTCATAATAGACTAGGAATTATGAGATATGTTTTTGTACTAGATTTTCATAGACGCAACTGTACAAATTTCAATAGTCCATGAAAAGGCTTGTCATAAAAAGTTCTGCTTGTTTATTGCCATAAATAATAAGATTATACGTGCGAAATTCTTAATACTCAAAGTACTCAAATATCAATATCTCATCTTCGTTTTTACCCCTTTTTTCTAAAATATTTATGATTAT